CGTGTGCTCCCCCCGACGAAACGAAAAGAGAAAAAAACAAACAACGGGGGAGGCGCGGCAGCGTCGCTGTTGGGCACACAACGTGAGGTGGAAATGTATAATGTATATATATAATGTGTGTGCACATGTGTGTGTGTGTATATATATATATAATGATACGTATGTATTTATATACGTATTATACATGTGCATGTATACATTGTATTATGCATTATATGCAACGCCAACGAAGCAAAGTCACGCGGCGCACACAAACCCGCACACACGTCTCGCCCGGCTTCTGCGAGCTCGCCACTTTTCGGCGCTGTTTCTTCCCGCTGTAGTGCATGTGACGCCCCCCTCTCCCAATGGCTCTTCTTCTGTCTGCTCTTCTTGCGCCGTCAACAACTAACGGCCATCCACAGCAACGCAATACACACACAGAGTGAGAACAGTAGCAGTAAGAAGAAGAGGCATTCATTGCCTCTTACCCCCTTCCCTCGTTCCTTTTTCTCGCAAGGGTTGGGCGTATATAAGCTTGTTTTCTTTTCTTTTTGTTTTTGCCCTCCTACTGCGGAAGAAATGACACCCACTGCGATCGAACAGGCGTGCCCGTTGGGCGATGCGCCGCTCAGTACGGTCTTGCGGCGCTCCTTAGAGTCACCGCCAGGCTCGCCGCTGCTTTTTTCTGGGGCGGGAGTTGTGCAGACGTCACCCACGCTGTCATGGGTGTCGGCGGAGTCGCTTGACAGCATTATGTCTCTGGCAAACCGGACGGGTGAGCAGCTGGAGCTGGACAGTCTGGTCTACCGCCTCTGCCACTCCTTGTACTGCGTGGCGGAGACGAAGTCTGCGAAGATGCACCGGCGCCCCGTGGAGGCGTGCTACGCCTCGGTTGGCGATGATACGAGGCGGTTCCACAACATGCGTGGCCACGAGGACTGGTGTCCGCTGCGTCACCTTTTTGACCCCTCGAGCTACTACCGGGCGATGGGGAGGTCGTCCAACCCGCATGTGGGGTGTAAGTGTCTTGAGGAGACGCACGACCCCTCAAGCGGCCCAGCGGGGGCGTCAAAGTGGCTGGTGGACGAGCTGGATGTGACGCGGCTCTCTGGCGGGAACAGTAACCACGTGTACCGCCTTGGGCACGCCTCGTACCCAGGCAAGGCCGTCCTGCTGCGCGTGTACGGTGACAGGGGCGGTGAGGTGATTGACCGGGCGCGGGACATCAAGGCAATGCAGCTGATGAGCAAAGCCAAGATGAGTCCTGCTGTGCTGCACAGTTTTCACTGGGGGCGTGTGGAGGAGTTTATGGACTCCGTGTGCACATGCACGACGGAGATGCTGCTGGCGTCGCCACCGCTGCTAGCCGACATATATGAAGGGCTCTGCTACATGCACCAGTTGGACGCTGCCCCTTTTCTGCCGGAGAACATCAATGGCGTCAAGCCTTTCGGGAGATTTGTGTCTCGGAAGACAAGCGTAGATGAGTTGGCCTCCTTGCTGGAGGGAAGTGCAGGCTACTACAGCACCCTGGGGCGTGAGAAAGCCCTGGAGAGCGTGTGCCCGACGTCGTTTGAGCGTGCTAGTTTTCGTCTGCTTCGACTGATGTCGTCGCACGTCTTGGAAACGCACCGGCGGGAGCTGGTGGACTGGCTTGCGGGGGAGATCATGTTTGTGCGCGGCGAGATGCTGCGACGCGACATCCCTGTCGTGTTCTCGCACAACGACCTGAATCCTGGCAACATCCTCCTGGCGAGGCGGAAGGTGCCGGCGGCGTTTCGCGACGGTGGCCCTCGGGGGAGCAGCGGCGATGGGGAGCGGCCGGCGGAGGGCGGGGGACGAAATCTTGTGGAGCGTCGCGGGCACCTGTTCATTGACTTTGAGTACACGGACGCGAACTACCGCTGCTTTGACCTTGGCAACACGCTCTGCGAGCTGGACTACGACTACACGCGGGGCACGGAGGCGGGTGGGCGCGGGTTCATCAAGTTTCTCTGCGTTTTCCCACCCGCCGCGAAGGCGGAGGCATGGCGCGGCCTTGGCGAGGAGTACCCGCGACTGCCGGAGCTGATCCTTGACGCGTGGCGAAGGGGGTGCGACGACGACGACGACGACGGGGCGGAAACGAGGGACGTTGGCGCCGCCGCCTTGCAGGCGGTGCGTAGGTACTTCGCAACGCAGAGCGGGGCACCGGCGAGCGAAGTGCCGGTAGCCGAGGCGCAGCTGGCTGAGCTGCTGCTCGGCATGCTGGCCTCCCACCTCCATTGGACGCTGTGGGCGTTGGTGATGGGGTGCGCGCCGGACGAGTGCGCCGACTGCGCGGCGGACGCGGAGGCGTTTGCGCTTGGAGGAAGTGGGCTGGACTACGTGCGCTATGGGGAGTGCCGGCTGAAGGAGTACATCGCGCTTCGCCACTGGCTTATTAGCCACGCACTCATTTGAGCAGCCCGAGTAATGTAAGTTGTTGTTTAGAGGAGGTGATCGCATTGCTGCTGATTAAGTGTGGATATGCGGAGACAATGGGATTTATTTGCATTTTTGTTTTGTTTTTGTTACTTTTTCTGTGTGTCGTGGCTCTGCTTCTTTTCTACTTTTCCTCCACAGGCGGAGAAATTACTGTCCTGTGAACGTTTTTTTTTTTTTGTTGATTATGACTACTACTACCACTACTGCTATTATTATTACTACTGCTACTACTACTAATAATAACTTCCCATGTGGTCGTAGCTGCCGTAGGTGTTGCGTGGATCCGTCCGGGAGTCTACGCATCCACATAAGCATATTTAAGCATATGTATATATATATATATATACAAGCATATATGCCCTTGATAGTATCGGCTTTTATGCATTCTTCTTTTACCCTGTGTATACACGCATGTCTGTGTAGGTATACACGTAGGTAGGTGTATCATCTCTCTCTGTGCGCCCGTTGGCTCCTGCTGCAGTGTTGCTGTTGCTTGTTTGTTTGTTTGTTTGTTTGTGTGGGTGGGTGGGCGCTGCTGCATTGTGGCTGTGAGGAGATTTTTTTGTTTTTTGTTGCCATTCTTTCTTTGCTTTTCTACCGGGGGTTGGGGGTGGGGGTGGGTGGGTGGGTGGGATTAGGAAGCGGTGTGTGTGTGTGTGTAGGGGGGAGCGGGGGGTCTCATGGAGGGCGGCAGGAACCCGTACACGGGGCGGGCGTTGAGCTCCCGCTACCACGCGCTGCTGCGGGGCCGGGAGAAGCTGCCGGTGTTCGCGGCGAAGGAGAAGATTCAGCGGCTGGTGGCGCGCTACCAGACGCTCCTGTTGGTGGGCGAAACCGGGAGCGGCAAGACGACGCAGGTGCCGCAGTTTCTCCTGGAGATGAACCCCGAGCACGCAATCGCGTGCACGCAGCCGCGTCGTGTGGCGGCCACCAGCGTCAGCGAGCGCGTGGCGGAGGAGCTCGACGTCGTGCTTGGGGAGGAGGTCGGCTACTCCATCCGCTTCGACGACGTGAGCAGCGAGCGGACGCGGCTGAAGTACCTGACGGACGGCATGCTGCTGCGGGAGGCCATGAGCGACCCGCTGCTGCACCGCTACAGCGTCATCGTCCTCGACGAGGCCCACGAGCGCACGGTCCACACGGACGTGTTGATCGGCGTCGTGAAGGAGCTGCTGCCGCGCCGGCCCGACCTGCGCGTGGTGGTGATGTCCGCCACGCTGGAGGAGCGCCGCTTTCAGGTGTACTTCCCGGAGGCCCCGCTGGTGCACATCGCCGGCCGGATGTTTGGCGTCGAGGTGTACTTCTCGCGGGCGCCGGAGTCGAACTACGTGGAGGCGGCGATACGCACGGCGACGCAGATCCACCTCTACGAGGGCGAGGGCGACATCCTCGTCTTCCTCACCGGCGAGGACGAGATTGAGCAGGCGGTGGAGCGGCTGCAGAAGGGGATTCGCATGGCGGAGCACAGCAGCGCGGACTGCCACAAAGGCCCCGTCTCGGTGCTCCCGCTCTACTCCGCCCTCCCGCCGCAGCAGCAGCGGAGGGTCTTCCAGAAGCCTCCCGCCGGCACCCGGAAGATCGTCGTGGCGACGAACGTGGCGGAGACCTCGCTCACCATCGACGGGGTCGTGTTCGTCGTCGACAGCGGCTTCTCCAAGCAGAAGGTGTACAACCCAAAGCTGCGCGTCGAGTCGCTTCTGGTGACGCCCATCAGTCAGGCGAGCGCCCGGCAGCGCTGCGGTCGGGCCGGCCGCACCAAACCCGGCAAGTGTTTCCGCCTCTACACCTGCAAGGCGTTTGAGACGCTCCTGCAGCCGCAGACGTACCCGGAAATCCTGCGCTGCAACTTGGGCTCTGTGGTGCTGCACATGAAGATGATGGGCGTGGAGGATTTGGTGAACTTTGACTTTGTGGAGCCGCCAGCCCCCGAGACGTTGATGCGGGCCCTGGAGCTGCTCAACTACTTAGGCGCCATTGACGACGACGGCGACATGACCGACTTTGGCCGCCGCATGGCGGAGTTTCCGCTGGAGCCGGAGATGGCCGCGATGCTGCTGCACAGCCCCGAGTACGGCTGCTCAGACGACGTGGCCCGCATCTGCGCGATGCTGTCGGTGCAGAGCCCGTTTGTTACCCCCGCCAACGACCAACGCGGGCGCGCGGTCCGGTGCCGCGAGCAGTTTTACCACCCAACCGGCGACCACGTCGCCCTGCTGAACGTCTTCAATGCGTTTCACGACGCCAATAGGCAGAGCGTGGCGTGGGCGTCCGAGAACTACCTCAACCCGCGCGTGATGAAGCAGGCCGTCAGCATCTACCGCCAGCTGCTTCGCATCATGCACCGCGTGGGCTGCGGCGTCTGCAGCACCTACTCCGCCGCCCAGCTGCGCGCCCACGGGGACGCGGAGGGGGCCAAGGACGAGTTTGCGAATGAGATTCGCCGTGCCATTCTGCGCGGGTACTTCACCAAGGTCGCCCTCTCCCTGCCCACGAAGAACCAGTTCATGACGCTGAAGGACGACGTCAAGTGCCTGCTCTTCCCCACCACGTTCCTCAACCGCCGCCCAAAGCTCGTCGTCTTCAACGAGCTTGTGCTCACCAGCAACACGTACATCCGCACCGTCACGGCGGTGGCCGACGAGTGGCTGCTGGAGGCGAGCCCGACGTACTTTGCGCGGGAGGAGTTCGCGGGGGTGAGCAGGCAGGTGTTTGACGAGCTGCACCGGCGCCATCACCGCCGCCGTCACGCGGCCACGGTTGGGAGCCCCGACGCGGGCGGCAGGAAGCGTCGCCGCGCGGCCGACAGCGACGACAGTGACCCCGAGTCGTGTTAGGAGGAGGAGGGGGGGGGGCGCCAACCACGTCTCTCTCCCGTGTAACGCGGCAGAGTAACAAATAACTGAAAACCGACACGAAGCAAAAAAGCAAAAGAAGATGACTAATTGAAGAGAAAAACGAAAAAAAGAAGACATCCTGCAGCGCTGCTGGCGGAGGGGGAGTAAGTTCTCGGCACCTGCCGAGCCACATGCTCACGCGTCTGGGGTGGGGTGGGTGATAGCGTGTGGTACTCGGTTGCGTTTTCTCTTGTTTCTCTTCTGCTTTGCCTCTTTCGTTCTGTTCGGGGGTTCGCCCTCCGCACCGGTCGCGGGGAACGCAGTCTGCGCCAAGCATAGCCCAAATGTCACACCTGCGTGATCGCGCCCCGCTGCTGCTGCTGCTGCTGCTGCTGCTGATGGTTTCCGTTGGCCCCGCCGCTGCGGCCGAGCTGACGGAGGCGGACTTCAAACGGATGAAGATCCGGGAGCTCCGCAGGTTCCTGGGGGAGCGCGGCCTCACCTGCGTGGGGTGCCAGGAGAAGTCCGACTTCTCGCGCTACGCCTACCAAAACCGCGACAAGAAGCCCCTCAGCGAGCAGGGGAAGCGGGACGTGCCCGACGCGCCGTTCTGGGCGGTGTGGCGGGACCTCGCTAAGGAGGTCTGCGAGGGGGCCGTTCGAAAGCGCGGGCTTGACGTCTCCGCGGCGCCACAGTCCGACGTCTGCGCCGCACTCGCCTACGTCACGGAGAGCTTCTTCATGCAGCACGGGAAACGCACTGCAAGCAAGCTGCGCAAGAAGCCTGAGGCCCTCCTCAAGACGTCCTTCAAGGGCGTCTACTACGACGCCGGGCGACTGCTGTTGGAGCGGCTGGCAAACTACTGTCTGGCCTCGGCAGACCACCAAAGCACGTGCAGCTCGGTGGGCAAGCTGATGACCCTCGCCGAGGAAGCGAAGGTCGTGGATCTGCAGGGGTGGATGACGAATGTCGGCATTGAGAACACCAACCCAATGTATGAGCTGCTAGACAGGCGCGACGACCTTTGAGGGGGAAGGCGCCGTTAGGCACATATCCACCTGGCCGTGTCTGCTTCAATAATTCAGTTGCAGAGTGCAGTGCCCAAGGGATTGAAATATCACTTAATTATGTGCGCCTTGGGCGCTGCACTTTCACGGCGATGTGTTTTTTTCTGCGAGTTTCACCGCGGGGCGTGCGCCACTGTTGACGAAGAGCTGCATCCTCGCCTTATCTGCGCTTACGCCGTTCGCACTTTCCCGACGTTACTGCTGTCTTTCCCTTTTGTTTTGTTTTTTTCTCTTTAAGGAAGAGGCAAATCTTGGCTTCCTCCGTTCTTGCGCTGCGGTGGGCAGAGAGCGATAACCACCGCCATGCGCCGGCGGCCCTAGACGACGGGTGGGGGAGGCAAACACCGCGCCGTGCAGTTTTTGCGTTGCCCCGCGTCAGTGGCGGGGGAAGGCGAAGGCGCGCGGCGTGAGCGGTCGTGTGGCCAATTGGGAGGGGCTTCAGCTCAGGCAGCGCCGCTGCGGCCGCGGAGAGGGAGAGGCTGCAGGGAGACAAGCTGCCGGCCCCAGCGCCGTGCGAGAAGCGGAGCGACCGTGTGACGTCCCTCCCTGCCACGTTGCCGCACTGTATATTTTGTATCCTGTTGCTGTGTGTTTTGTCCGACCCCGTTTGCTTCTGCCAGCGCAAGTTTTTTTTCTTTTTCCGTTTCCGTTTCCGTTCCTCCCTTGGCTTTTCTCTCCCTGCCTGTTGTCTGCTTCAGGGTGCCAGGTGGTGGCTGTGGTTGCCGCAGCTGCGCTGCGCTGCGTCATGGCGGCGGGGGAGTCGCACGCTTACGAAGAGCTGCTGCGGGCGTATTGGAGCCGCCGCGAGTCCGTGCGGCGGGAGGAGGGCCGCCTTTACGAGCTGCAGCGCGTCATACTCGCCGTGCACAACGTCGTGTGGCGGTGATCACCAGAGAAGACGGACTGCACACAGAGGGGGAGGAGGTCCGGCGGCACACCTCTACGTAAATGCGTATTCGCCGGCGCAGTTACATGCAAGTGCCCTGCACATAAAACTGGGGGTCGTGTTTTGCCGGGTGGGCGGGGGGAGGGGAGGGGGTTTCATCACAGTGTGTGCGCCATCGCCGATGGCAGCGTGGCGTGAACTCCTCCCACGCAGTCTTTTTTTGTTTTGTCTTTGTCTTTCTGCGCCGCGCCCATCTCTCCCCGCGCTCCCCGCTTCCCTTCGTTTTTATTCATCTTCGTTTTTTCCCCCTCCAACCTGCGCACGCGCACGGGCTTGGCGCCGGTGTGTGCGGCAGGCAGTCATCCCTCGACAAGCACCCAAGCCACTGCGCCCGCATGCCGCCCAAGCGAGTGGCGCTGGTGACGGGCGGGAACCGCGGAATCGGGTACGCGGCGGTGCGGCGCCTGGCGCAGCTCGGCTACTGCGTGCTGCTCGCCGCCCGTGACGCGCAGCGCGGCGAGGCGGCGACGGCGACGCTGCAGGCCGAGGGCCTCGACGTGCACCTGCTGCACGTCGTCATCACCGACGAGGCCTCCGTCGCCGCGGCGGCCCGCGAGGTGGAGGCGACGTACAAACGGCTGGACGCCCTCATCAACAACGCCGCGGTCATGGACTACGACAACCACGTCACCCCGCTGAATCTGCAGCGGATGCGGGAGGAGTTCGAGGTGAACTTCTTCGCCGCCGTGGCGGTGACCAACGCCTTCCTGCCGCTGATGCTGCGCACCTCCGACGCCCCCCGCGTCGTGAACGTCAGCTCCGTCCTCGCCTCCCACGGGACGGTGGAGCACCCGCACAGCAAGTACTGCAGCCCGCTCTTCACGAGCTACAAGTGCACCAAGGCCGCCCTCAACACGTACACGCACAACCTCGCCTACTGGCTGCAGACGCAGGAGGAGGGCAGCGCCAAGGCGGCGAAGGTGAATGCGGCGTACCCGGGATACGTGCGCACGGATATGTCGCGAAACTCCCAAGAGGCGTCGATGGGGCCGGAGGAGGGAGCCGAGACCCTCGTTTACCTCGCAACCCTGCCGGAGGATGGGCCCACTGGCGGTTTCTTTCACAAGCAGGAACGCCTGCCGTGGTGAGGGGGGATAAACGTATAGCATTCTGATTTTTGTTTTTGTTTTTGTAGCGGAGCTTTTATGATTATCGTCTTCTTTTTCTCCCCCTGTTTCCTCGCGGCCCTTCGCAGTTTTCCTGCGTCGTAGCGGAACACTTGACAGCTGCTGGCCTTCTTCTGCCGTCCCTCCCACGGCGTGGCTTTCGTCGCGGCAGAAGCTACATAAACATATGTATACACATGCATGTGTATATGCACCGGCGTGAAGCATTGATTTATAACGCGGCAAAGAACGAAAAAAAAAGAGGGAGGGAGGGGGGGAAAGATATGTTTTCTTCGCAAGATTATTTTAGACATTAGCAGCAGCAATCGAGTGGACGACACTGCACTGCCTCCGTGGGGCAGTTTGTTTCACGTAGTGGCGACGGTAGGTGGATGTGTGCGTGCGTGTGCGTAGCGGTCTGCCCCTCTGCTGCTGAACCGCCCACATCTTTTTTTTTTTTCGTCCTTTGCTTTCCGCGCATTTCTGCCTTCTTCCCCCGTAGTCCCCGCACTTCGCCGCGTCTGTGCTAGCGAGGAAGAGAGGGAGGGTGTGCGTGTGTGTGTGTGTGTGTGCCTGCTGCGTTTTGGCTCGCCGGAGCGCGGCGGTGCGGCATGACGCGTGAAAAGACGGTCGTCGTGCACTCGAGCGTGCGCCCGGACGACGAGGAGGAGGAGGAGGAGCTTCGCAACGCCGCCGCCGTCGCCGCGGCACCCGCAACGGCGCAAGGGCCGCCCCCGCCCCCGCCGTCGTGCGGCGACGACGACGAGGACGACGTCTCCATCGCGTACGTGGCGCAGAAGGGCGCGCCCGTGAGCCTCGCCGCCGCGCGGTCGGCGCCGCTGAAGCGGCCACGCAGCAGCCCAGCGGAGCCGGCCGACGCCGTCGCCGACGCCGCGGCCGCGGAAGGGGAGCTGCCGGACGACACGGACCACCCCAACGACCGCGCGGCGTACGCGCGTTGGCAGGCGCGGGATGCCGCCCGGCCAAAGAAGCTGCTGTTGGGGTGAGTCTCTCGCAGGCTCCATCGCCACGCCTCCGCCTGCGCACACGCACACGCTCGATCGCCTGTCTGCAGACAACTGCGTTGTTCTGTCTGCTGCTGCTGTTGGTGTTGTTGTCTTTTTGTTTGGCCGCAACTATGGGCCACATGCAAACTGGAGTTATTTGCATTTTAACTTTACTTTTGCCTCTTCCCGCCTCCCCCTCTGCATTGCACGCTTCGCTTGTTTTATTCCCATTCTGCTTTTGGCTGGCCGCGCACCAACGGCGCCGCCGTCTCCCGCTGCTGCGCAGCTGCAGGGACTTATCGCTTCCGTCGCTCATGTCGTGGCCGGCGTGGGTGTTGAATGAAAAAAATCGAGGGCTCCAGCAGCGCATCGACCGCGTCACTGATGACCTGCAGAGCAAAGCCGCGGAGGTTGAGGCGGAGCGGGAGGCGGTTGCTCTGCTGCGGCGGAATTTGACGCAGGTGCAGCAGCACCTCCGCTCGAGCACGAGGGCCGGCACGGAGGTGCAGCAGCGGCTGCAGAGGGACGACGACGCGCTGCAGGTGCTGCGGCGAGAGGGCTCCCACGGCCGTGCAGAGCTCCACGCGTTACAGAGCCGCCAAAGGGAGGCGCGTGAGTTGCTGCAGAGCCTCTCCTGCGCGGTGCGATCCAAGGCGGAGGCCCTTGCGAAGGCGCAGGACGTGTCAGCGGCGCTGGAGCAGGCGGCGCTGGAGCTCTCCGCCGTCGCCGTCGACTCGCACGGGAGCGCGCACGAGGCGCAGCGGGACGTGGAGCGGCAGCGCCATCGCCTGGAGCAGGTGCGGGCGGCGCTGGCGGGCGCCCACAACTCTCTTCGCGTGTCACAGAGCGCGCTGCAGCGTGAGACGGCGGAGTTTGCGCGGGCGCAGCGGAGGCTGGAGGCCCTGCGACCGGCGCTTCTTCTGGCGAAGCGCGACAGAAGAGAGTCGTGGCTGGCGGTGTCGCATGTGCAAGAGGCGATTGCGGCGTGTGAGACGCAAACGGCGGCAAACGCAGAGGCGTACGCCAGCGGGGCACGAGCCGTGGAGGCGCAGCGTGCGCTTCTCCAGCAGCTGCAGAAGCGGCATCAGGAGCAGCTGGCGCGGCGGCAGGCACTCTCCGGCAGCCTTGAGATCTATCGCAGAAAACAGCACGCCCTCCTCGCGCGCCTTCACGCCTCCACGAGCGCGACACAAGATCAAGAGAACGCGGTAGCGGCGATGCAGCGACAAGTTGCGGCTCAGCGCGACGTGAAGCGGCATGCGTCGCTTTCGTGCCGCAACGCTCTTGCGCTTCGGGACGCGCGCCACGGGCGACTGCAGGAGCTGCTGCTGCGCGTGCGGGAGCTGGAGGGCCTCGCGGCGGCGGCGGCGCGCGAGGGCGGCGGGGCGCAGTCGCCGCGCTCCCTGGAGGACACCCGCGCCTCCCTGCAGCGCGGCCTCCGGCAACTCGAGAACCAACTCGAGCGAATCCAGGCGGCGACGGTGGCGTGTCTCTCCGACCTCCAGCAGGAGGGCCGCGTCGCCGAGGAGGTAAGCCACAGCGTCATCAAGGCGCAGGCGGCACTGGCCGCCGCGGACGCTGACTGGGCGGCACAGCGGCAGTCCCGTGAGGCGTGTCAGGCCCACCTTGACGAGCTGGAGGCGCGCCTGTCGTCAACGCAGCTGAGTCTGGGGCAAACACGCGAGCTGCTGCGGGAGCGGCGACAGCACGAACAAACCGTCTTGGGTGGCGTTGTGCAGGAGTTGCGGGGGGAGCTTCGTCGCGTGACACAGCGCGGGCTTGCGCTGCGGCGCGACATCACGCCGCTGCAGTGCGCCCTAAACGCCCATGCCAGGCTCGCCGACGACACAAAGGCGAAGCTTGCCTCGCTCGCAGAGGCGGTGCAGCAGCGACGGGTGGAGCTCCACGGGGCGGGGTTGGATGCCGCGCAGCTGGCGAAGCAGAAGGAAACGGCCCTGCTGCACCACTCGCGGGCGACGCTGGAGCTGCGATCCGTGCGACGTGTCGCGGAATCGCACGTGGAACTGATGCGCGGGTCTGCGGGTCTCGAGGACGTCCTCCGCGGACAGGCGCTGGTGCTGGAGGAGGGCGTGCTTGCGGACATCAATAACATCATGGTGGAGCTGCACCTCGAGCAAAAGGCGCAGGCGGAGAAGCAGGCCGAACTTCGGCGGCGCCAGGAACAAGTGCGTCAGCTGAAGTGCCGGTACGAGAACCTCACGGAGGCGCTGAACCGAAGGCTCCTCGCGGCGCGTGGGGAGAACGAGGAGGAGCCGCGCGAGGCCACCGCCAACTCTTCACCGGAGACAATTCATGCTCGCTGCATTCTTCAAGCCTCCTCGGAGCGGGAGCGGTTGCGGGAGCGGGGAAACCGCCTCGACGGCCGCATCGTCTTCCTTGAGCACGAGACAAAAACACTGCGAAAGATGCTTCACGCCATGCGGGCGGACGGGGGGCGGCGGCGTGGCTCCTCGGGCCCCGCCTCGGCCTCGGGCTCTTCGCCGGGGCTGCTGCAGCTGCGCGAGGGGGTGGCGGAGAGCCGTCGCAACGTGGAACGCGAGCTGCATTGCGTGACCGAGGCGCTGCGAAACCTGCAGGGGCGCAAGCGGGACCTCAGCCAGCGCCGCAAGGAGGTTGCCGGGCGACTGAGTGAGCTGCGGGCGCTCAAGGCTAGCCGCGAGTCCGTGGTGCGGCGGCTAAAGGCGCAAGTAAGGCGGTCGCAGCAGAGTTTGAGGTCGCGATAGCTGCCGCAGCCTCGTGCCCGCTGGCGTGCTTCCCCCCTCTGCCCATCCCCGTGCGTGGGCTTGAAGGGGAAAAGTACGACGGGGGGGGACATTTCTAGTGGGTGCGTGCGTGGAAGAAGAAACGAGAAGTGATAGAGTCTCGCTGTAAAAACAGTATATATATTTATAATATTCTTTCTTTGGGTCGGAGGGCGATGCTTGCCGCAGGCCTCACCAACACGAGCTGCAGCGGCAGCAGCACCCGCCGTGTTTTGCGTTTGTGTTAGTGTGTTTTTTTTTTCCTTTTTGCTCACGCATAGTGGACAAAAAGGAATAACACCAGCGAAAAAAAGGGGGACTAGAGCAACGACGCTGTGCTCGCATGCTTGCGACGAGTATCAGCGCCGTGTTGGCCGGGGCCGCCCTCATTGGGGTGGCGGTGGCAATATACGCTGCCGTTCGGCAGTTGCGCGCGGTGCGGCGCAGGGAGGGCGCAGCGTCCGACGCCCGGCCCACGTTTTTCGCGCGGCCAAGCCTGCTGCTGCCGAACGCTCTCCCGCACTACACGCCGGAGTACCCCGACGTGGTCGACGCCTACGTCGTCCTGCCGAGGAGCCAGCTGAGGCTGCTGACGGGGACGAAGGAAAAGATGGGCGGGACGAACAAGGCCGGGGCTGCCCAGCCCGGCGGCCGTCACAGCCAGCACCCGCAGCAGCAGCAGCAGCAGCAGCAGGGCGTTGCGGAGGGGGCGCGGGGGCAGGAGGAGGAGGCGGCGGCTATGCGCTCCTCCTCCACCCACTACCGCGTGCGCCCCGGTGAGACCTTCGCGAAGGACGCCGCGGAGGACCCGGCGCTGGCGGCGTCGCTCCACCTCAGAAAGGCGGCCTCCATTCATAGGGGGAAAAATAGACTCAAGGAGAGCCTCACGCTTCTGCGCAAACTGTCGTCGCATCTCGTCTTTGGCAGGGCTGCCTATTTGCCTCGGGAAAAGGAACCGCAGGAGGCCGAAGATGTGGACCTTCCAGGCGTCATGACGGTCGCCTCCGAGTCACGCACCTCAGCCGCAGGGAGTTCCATGCATGTGGTGAGCCTCTGATCGCCGAGAGGCGACGCCAACGCACCAACGCCCTCCCCAGAGGAGGATGTTTAGGTGCCGGTACTCGTGGGCCTCTTGGGGCATGCAAAACCGAGGAAGTCGTGCCCCGTTGTCTGCCACCAAAAGACTTCCTCGAGTATATATATATATATATATATATATTTCCCGCCCCAAACCTCATGAGTTTCGTCACCACTACGTTGAGGGAGTTGATATACATTTAATCCTTTTCCCTTTTTCTTTTCCTCGCTGCGCTGTGAAGAGATTTATATTCAACGCTTTGCCCTCCCTTCCCATCAGAGCTTTTTTTATCTGCTTGTTTTTTCCACGCTCCTATACGGTACGATCACCATTCCTGTTTTCTTCCTATACGTTGGCAGATGCGCACATGCGTGTCTGCAAGCATTTATTTGTGCTGCGTGTCCCGAGTCTGTGCAGTGACAGGCGTCTGCCTTGTTTTCCCGCGGGGCTCGCGTAACTTCCATCGAATTGCTCTCATGTAAGAGGCACGCGCCTCACGGCTGGAGTTCTTTTGCTTCTCCCTCTTAGTTCCTTGTTCGTTTGTTGTTCTCATTCCTTTGGGTGACGTACTTCTTGGGACTCCACCCGCTCTCGTTCATGTGCGACACGGTGCGCACGGCGAGGGCGTCCACAGAGCCCTACGCCTGGTAACGTTATCTTCTTTTATTACTATTATTATTACTTTTTTTTATTGAGCCCCTGCGAGGAGAGCTGCAGGACACCGTTTTGCTTGCGTACGTTGTCCTTCATGACCGTCTGCTTTTCTGCCTCGCTCTGCAGCAATCGCGCGGAGTTTCTAGGGGGTGGGGGTGGGGGAAGAAAAAGAAGCCAAGCTTGACGCACGCAGTGCGTGTTGCGTGCGGCCCGAGGCCCGCGCTGTCGGAGGCCGAACGGCGCCTCTGCCGCAGGGCCCCCGTGCGCCGCGTGAAAGGCAGCGGCGCTTTTCTGCGGCTTCTGCCCCGCACAGGAACAACGCCGGAGTGGGAGCTGGGGAACACACGTTGCAACGGTTGTCGCTTTCCCGGTCTTCCTCTCTGCGGCGCTCTTTGGCGTGGCTTGCAGTGGGGCGTGTGGGGTAAGTGCACTTGCCGCGGCACGAATGGCGCCCCGCTTTTCACCTTGTGGGGGCTGAAGCGACAGGAATGGGCAGGCGGGGGACGCCTGGGGCCGTGCCTGCCCCTGGGGGACGTCTCTCGGTGTCTCGCCGCAGTCCGTGCCTGGACGCGGGTGCCATTTGGCGTGGAGCCTTCGTCCGTCCCAGTGGCGCTCCCGCCCGGGACTTGCGTGTGCGTGTGTTTCCGCGATGGGAGAGTGGGAGAGAGCGAGAGAGAGAGCTATGGGCCTGTGGCGACCACGACACCTTCCTCCTCCGTGGGGCAAATAAATACGGCCCTGAAATGCCTCCCCCTCCCTCACTGCACTGCCCGTGCCTTGTGGCATCGGACGCAGCAGCCGTGGAAAAAGGCTAAACGTGCCGCCTATTCGAATGTTGCTTCACGTACGGACATGCCGCAGCAAGGAAGGACGCAGTGAAGAGGATCGTGAGGGAGGCTTTCCCGGTGGTGCTTGCGCGAAACTTGCACAGCGACTTGCGGGGGCGTAGGGAAAGCGGCAATATCAAAAAAAGAAAGAAAGAAGAACATTAATACATCTTCTGTGGCGGGTAAACCGCCGAGGCCGGAGAGGTTTTACGAGACTTTCTACAGTGCGAAGTATATACCTGTCGGCAATGGCGGCGCAGGAGGGCAATCCACCACAGTCGTGGGAGTACAAGATGCATGGCACTCCCCCGAAAAAGGGCGGCAATGCAGAGGGGGCTTCCCCCGCCCCGTCCAAGGCTAATGGTACTCACATCCGAGAAACAATGGCCTTACTCGCTGAGGACTTTGGGGAGCTGTGAAGGGATTCACTCCCGACTTCTTTGTTACATATGAGGTGGGGCGGGTGTGGCGGATTTGCCAGGTGCTTTCTTGTTCTAAAAAAATGTTCCCCACTCCAAATTGCCGTGCTCATCTTTCAAGAAGAAGACGCGGCACAGGGGAGAGATGGTCACTGAAGTTTGGACTACTAAATAATTCGCATAGATCTCCTTTGGCAAATCCGCCGCACCCGCCCCACCTCATAGGTAGCAAAGAAGTCGGGAGTGAGTCCCTTCACAGCTCCCCAAAGTCCTCAGCGAGTAAGGTCATTGTTTCTCGGATGTGAGTACCATTAGCCTTGGACGGGGCGGGGGAAGCCCCCTCTGCATTGCCGCCCTTTTTCGGGGGAGTGCCATGCATCTTGTACTCCCACGACTGTGGTGGATTGCCCTCCTGCGCTCCGGCGATCTCTGCCGGAGCCTGTGTGTTGGTTCCTTTTAGTCGCCGCAGTGTGTGTAGATCTTCCTGCGGGTCTAATTTTGAGCCCCCGTGCGGTGCAGCATCCCACCCACCCCGCCAGCGTGCGGGCACCGCCGGTCTCAACGGGCAGCTGCAACTGCGGCATTCCGCACACCCCACGCGGCCGCACAGCGGCGCCTCGAACAAAAATGGAGGCTGCGCAGAAACCAGCAGAGATGCTTGTAGCGCGGATTTTGGATGCCGTCTATAGGGCTGTCCACAACGCAAGCTGGTCCCTTGTCAACGAAGCTTGTGATGGGATACAGTCGGCAACGGCAGTGCAGAAAGGCACGCCACCGCAGCCATGGAGGTACCGGGTGGTTCACCGAACTCTCGAATTGAGTGGCAATGCAGAGGAGATTTCTCCATTCCGCCCCAGGCTGTTGGTGCTCGGCTCGGAAAAGCAGTGGCCGTACTCGCTGAGGAAAAAAGAAAGAAAAACAGGATGATGTTAGTGACTGCCACGTTACATTCGAGGTGGGGCGTGCGGGGCAGTTCGTCCAAGGCAATGGAACCATATTATTTTGCCACTCCTGGTGGCCGTGGCCGTGTTTTGCCTGCGCCGCGTCTCCTGCTCGGGACGCCCGGGATCGGGAAGTCGGCGGCCGACGGCTTTTACCTCCTCCACAGTCCGCTGCACCACAATGACGCCGACAAGAAACTCCACGTGGTTGTCTGCGGCGCT